GAAGTACCAGATCAACCAGTGTTTGTGTACTCATTATAACAAGCTCCATATCAGTACTATTCAAAAATTTAAGGGCAAGGTCCAATCAGAAATTGAACAACTCAACCAATGGTCCTCAGGTAGGAGGCTGGGCCATTTCCTAGATATCAAAGCAAATGTAGTTGCATTTGTTGGCCATTTTGTAAAAGGACTACTTTAGTCTATGCAGAGTAACTCAACTGCCAAATGCCCAAATCTTTCAGCAAAACAAACTGCGGTCTCTGTGTCGTATTTTGTGCTTTTATCACAAATTGTTGGATAATCTGACCCACTGATATAATTCACTTCTGTTCAGTGATAATTTTGTAATCCTTTTTCAAAGGTACGAAATGATGAAGGAAAAGTGATTCGTTTCCATTGTAAACTTTGTGAATGCAGCTTCAATGATCCTAATGCCAAAGAGATGCATCTCAAAGGAAGGCGGCATAGATTACAGTATAAGGTGAGTTAATTTCATGATAGCTGAGTAATTTCTGTGGTGTTTTTTTTTTCTGAAACTGAACTATAGTTAAGGTGTTATATGTATTTTCTTTACTTATGAAGACTTGAAAATATAAATTTGTGTGTTTAATACTAAACTACAAAGAGATGTATTTTCCTAATATCTGATGATGGATTAGATAACAGGTAAGTCCTGTTAAGTTTAGTGGGAATTGCTTCCTAGTAAATATGTTTAGGATTGCCACCTTACATAATAGCTGCCACAGTACTATCTCATTGCCATCAGTGCCATCCAGATATCTATGGCCTGCTCTGTTTTTTCTTTAAGAGGGAAATAGGTTTATGGTTAAACATTGGTATAAAGAGCATCAGTACCACTGGAAGATGGGGGAAGTTCAGAATGACCAGCATCTCCACCCCATCCCAGCATATAAAAGCAGTTCTAGTTATTTAATGAGAGAATAATGTAGAAATCATTCTCCACCCCCAATTGGCCCAAGCTTATTCTGCATCTTCTGTCAGATTCAAATCATGTTCACAACTAGCTGCTACATATAATAAGGGAGATATTTTTAAAGCTGTTGATAATTCTCAGAATAATTTGTATTCCCCCCAATATAGTATATACCCAAAGTTTAAGGACTTCATTCTCCCTGTTTTGCTTTTAATTTTTCTTCCTTTTGTTCACATTTAAATGCAGATTATGTTAATAAATATTTAAATAAATAAACAACATGTCTACATTGAGCACCTCATCTTACCTCCATGTACTGCCAAACCATGAAACGTCATGACTACCTGCTCAGCATATAGAACTATTAACATGCATAACAAAAATATAAAAATATAAGGAGGAATTGTATTGTTTCTGTTTTCTTCTCATGTGTCTTGCATACACTGCAGCTCTTTCTGTGAATACTTAGTTCTGCCATGAGAGTCGTAGTGGTTTGAGTGTTGGGCTGTAACTCTGGAGACCAGGGTATGAATCCCCACTCACCCATGGAAATTTACTAGATGACCTTGGGCAAGTTAACATTCTGCCAGCCTCAGAGGATGGCAATGGCAAGTCCCCCCCCCCCCCCCCCCCCCCCCACTGAACAAATTCTGCTGAGAAAACCCCATGGTAGACTTGTCTTACTTAGGGTTGCCATAAGTCAGAAATTTGAAGGCACACAGCAACAATAACAAAAATAAAGAAGTCTTAAAGAAATTTGGAATTAATTTCAATCCTTAATCTCTGAAACAGAAAAAAGTAAACCCAGACCTGCAAGTAGAAGTGAAGCCTAGCATCCGGGCAAGGAAAATACAAGAAGAAAAGATGAGAAAGCAGATGCAGAAGGAAGAATACTGGAGAAGGCGCGAGGAAGAGGAACGATGGAGAATGGAAATGAGGTAATATGTTAGGCTAATCCTTCTAGGTTCTTGTGGATCCTAACCACTGAAATATCTGTTTTAAACGAAAGTGAAGTTGAACCAGTCACACTTAATATATTCCTTAACAACAGTGGGACAAGGTATCCTATGGTGTCCCTTCTGGTTTTCAAATGTTTAATAAATTACATTTCAGAAATTTCACTCAGCTACTACAAATCTGATTCCCCAAAGTTCTTTTTTCTATACATTCTAAAATGAAACCATACTACACCTAAAATACTACAAAACAGTATCTGGACATATGGTAATGCTATCATAGTGCAAACTTGGATTTCTTGGGTTTCTTACTCAGAATTTCTTTTCTGGGGATGGGGTGGCTTTTAGGCTATGGGGTATATTAGACCTTTCCCATTACAAGTAAGCTACATTCTTGTGAATTTTAATCATAGAACACATTGATTCATTTTGCTTTTTAGACAGTAGGAATAGCTAACTTTTTATATCTAAAGAATTCTTTTCTCAGAGTGTGCCTGCTGAATTCAGAAGCAAAGCAAAGCAAAGCAGCTTATTTATATACTACTTCATATCACGCTATGGGATGTCTAAGCGGTTTACAACTGTGAGCTGATTGCCCCCCAACAAGCTGGGTACTCATTTTAGCGACCTCGAAAGGATGCAGGCCTGAGTCAAGCCTCAGCCCTGGTTGGTATTGAACTCACAACCTTGTGGTCTATGAGTGAGTGGCTGCAGTACAGGCATTTAACCACTGCGCCACCAGGGCTGATTCAATAGGAAAATCATTTATTTTAATAGAAAGTGACTAAGCTATAGCAGTCTGTTGCACAGTTTTAAACAGTTTGTGGTTTCTAAAATTAACATTGACAACAACTAATATACTGAACATAACTGCAAATTAAAATATTTTTATATCAGCTAGAAGTCCAAAAATGTTGTTTTTGTTCTTGTGTGCAGACGTTATGAGGAGGACATGTACTGGAGGAGGATGGAAGAGGAACAGCATCATTGGGATGATCGTCGTAGAATACCTGATGGAGGATATCCTCATGGACCTCCAGGTCCTCTTGGACTTCTTGGTGTTAGACCTGGAATGCCACCACAGCCACAGGGTCCAGCTGTGAGTAATCTTGATGGAACACAAAGTCCTCCTCCCTCACCAAAATAAAGTTAGCAGCTAATAGCTACTGGTTGCACTGGAGCTTTTCTCCCTTCCCCTCCAGACCTTTGTGCTACTGCCAAAACAGATTCCAGAAGGTCCTCCTGCCTCCCAGATCCATTTGATTTTTGGCGGGGAGAGAACTACTCTTGTGATAAGCAGGACTGTCTCCCTTTGGATCCACTGGATCCTGCTGTTTTGCCAGGTTGAGGTGTTATTATATAAAATGTATTGAGGCATCAGTTGAAATACTTAAGCTGTAAGCTAATAGTCTTTCCATATTAAAGAGTACAGTGTACTCTCAAGAAATAACACTTGCTTCAGTACACCTGAAAAGTGTAGATTTCTATTTTGTGATAAGCAGTGCTGATTTGTAGGATAAGTTCCAACTGTAAAGCTGAACATTTGTTTAGCAAAGGATTTTCTTCAGCTGCCAAAAAGCTTTTAACTTTTCATTAGAAATGAAAAAGCATCTTATGGAAATGTTTTGCCATTGAAATTTTCAGACTGAACTCGAACTCTTTTAAGACAAAAGAAAAATGTATTCATACCCTGCTTGCTATGTTCTTAGTCTCCATTTTGTCTCTTTATATTTGGTGAATAGTCCCTTGACTACACAAGTGTCAAAAGGACACTTGAGTGTTATACACTCAAAACTTAGCAGCTGGCATGTTATCACACCATTGTTGAGTTAAATATATTGCCTTCCAATTCTGTACTGAGTATGCTGGTATTAGTAATCTTCTTGGTTTTGATGGCCATCTGTCAGGGATGCTTTGATTGGGAGTTCCTGCATGGCAGGGGGTTGGACTGGATGGCCCTTGTGGTCTCTTTCAACTCTATGATTCTATGACGATCACTACTAATTTGTGATGAGAGTGCCACAGTGTAGAAACTCTAAATAGAATATCAACCTATTCCAACCAGAGGAAGATCCCAGTAAGCTTGCCTTCAGTAAGCTTAAAAAGACTAAAGCAAGCCTCCTATCTCTATTCTTGTTGAATCTAAAATTAAGTTGGGGGAGAAAGCCTCATTCTCATAGTTTTTCTGTTCCATCAGCCCTCCCAGTAGTTTCATTATGCATGTCAGCACCAACATCTTTCCTGTTGCCACATGGGCTGTCCTCCTCAATAACACATTGATATTAGCACCTGATAATTGCTCACTTGTTTCTTTTGCTACCAGGACCACCATGGTCAGGACCATACTGTCCTCCTGACCCCAGACGAGAGAATATATCTGTCTTCCCAGGCCTGTTTTCCTCAACCTTTATCACTTAGATAGCAGTCCCACTTTCTTGTGGTTCTCAGGACTTGTTGCTCCAGCTGCTTTGGCTACCTGTGTTCAGAAAGGCAAGATTGGAGCTTGATGTAGAAGAAACCATCTTGTGAATAGTGTTCCTACTCTACTTCATGGGACTGTTTTACCTATCATATTATCAACATTGCTGGAGGCATCTGTTTACGTGCTGAATGCTTGTAGGGCTTTAGCATTATCATTAGATTGGACATCAAATGTTTTTGAGAAAAGGCCTCCCAGCCCTGAGTTGATCTAGGACTGCCATAGTGAGCTCAGGGAACTGAGAGGGAAGGTACCAAAGCTTCCTGAATGCATGCTGTGAGATAGAGATGGACTTGCAAGTCAGAATATTCCCAAACAAAATTCTGTGCATTTGCAGAACATGTAAACATTCAGGTGATTGAGCAGCCAGTTACAAGCATCCTGGCCTTTTGAATTTGAACCAAACTATGAAAGCGTCCTAAAATCTAGTCTGTATTACTTTATTCACCCACTAGAGCAGGGAGGTTTTTGTTGTTGTTGTGTGCCCTCAAGTCTTTTCCAACTTATGGTGACCCTCAAGATGAACCTATCACTGGGTTTTTTTGGCAAGTTTCTTCCAAAGGGATTTGCCATTGCCATCCTCTGAGGGTGAGAAATTGTTACTTGCCCAAGGTCAGCCAGTGGGTTTCCATGGCTGAGCAGGGATTTGAACCCTGATTACCCAGAGTTGTAGTCCAGTAATGAAACCACTGAACTACAGTGGCTCCCTAGGAGCACTTGTTGCCAAATGGTTTTGTAGATGGTTTTCATTACCAACCAGTTCTTAAGTTCTTTGCTTTTAAGAGCTCTGCTTCTGTGTCTGAACTCAGACAGTAATCTAAGTAAGTAAGTTTAAGGTTACTTACTGTATATACTCGTATATAAGTCAAGAAATTTAGGTCAAAGATTGACCTAAAAAACCTGGGCCGACTTATAAATGGGTCAGTTAGGTAATTGACCCAAGCCTCTCCCCAGCCCGACTGCCTCCACAAGGGACGGCCCAGCTGGGGAGAGGCTAGGAAGGGCGCCTGATCACCCTGCAGCCTCTTCCTAGCTGGGCTCCCTTCCCGTGAGGAAGCCCAACTGGAGAGACGCAGGGGAGGGCGATCCCCAGCCAGGCTCCTGGCCAGGAGAAAGCCCAGCTGTGGAGAGGCTGGAGAGGGTGGCCGATCACCCTGCAGCCTTTCCCAGCCGGGCTGCCTCCTGAAGTCTGACCCTCGAGTTATCCACGGATCATACCAAAATCACACAAAAGTTGACCTCAACTTATACACAAGGTTGACTTATAGTCGAGTACAGTGGGCCCTTGTTATCCACTGGGGTTTGGTTCCAGGACCCGCCATGGATAACAAAATCTGTGGATGCTCAAGTCCCATTATCTATAATGGCATATTAAAATGGTGTTCCTTATATAAAATGGAAAATCAAGGTTTGCTATTTGAAATTTATACTTTTTTGGAATATTTTCAAGCCATGGATGCTTGAATCTGTGGATAAAAAATTCCATGGATATGGAGGGCCAATTGTATATACGGTAGTTAATTAGGAGGCATATTAATCTAAGTAAAATAGCAGAAACTGGAATAAGTAAAACACAAAACTATTAGGGAACATTACTGAATTTGAAAAACTTCTATGTTTTTTGTAGCCTCTCCGTCGACCAGATTCATCAGATGATCGCTATGTAATGACCAAACATGCTGCTATCTATCCAACTGAAGAGGAACTACAGGCAGTCCAAAAAATAGTTTCTATCACTGAGCGTGCACTGAAACTTGTGTCTGATAATATGAGTGACAATGAAAAAAACAAGAAGGAAGGAGATGATAAAAAAGAGGGCAGTAAAGACAGGTATATTTTGTTGTCATTGTATTATATCAGTCACTATGTTTGGAAAGGAAGTAAGATAAAAATGGAACCATGATGTAAGCTTTACTTCATGTCAGCCTCGCCAATTCCCTTTTTGTTTAATCTGAGTTTATCATTGGAGCTCTTGGTTACTGTGATCTTCAAAGTGTTTGCTTTGAAATCCCGAATTCTTTTCGGAGTAGTCTTGTATATGATAACTGCAGCTCATATAGTCTTTGCTAGATATTGGAAAAAAGAGAAAGAACACATAATAGAAGAATGGAAACAGAAATTAAATGACATGATGAACATGGATAAATTGACAATGATGATTAATGGTAAACAAGATAGTCATTATATTAAGAAATGGGGAAAGCTAGAAAGTCTGTGGAAGTAAAAAGACGGAAGGAATAAAGCATCCAGATTTATAAGGATTTAAAGAAATATGTATATAAAATAATGTTTATGATATGAAAGTGTGCACTTAAAACAGGAAGAAAAAAAATAAGTTTAAGATACGAAAGCTCAAAGCTGTGCAGACAATTTAAAAATAAGATATTCTTCCAACTGGCTTCTCTGTTAAGACAAAGAATTAAAAGTATATGGTACAAAGGCCTAATATATTAACTAAGAAATGAGTTGACTTATAAAATTTTATGACACTAAAATTCTCTGGACTTATTTACATTCTAATGCAGGGGTAGGCAACCTTTCCCCTTTAAGGACCGAGGGACTTCAGCTCCCAGAATCCAAGGAGCTATTGGCCAACATGGGACTATTGGCCAACACGGCTGAGGCTTCTGGGAGCTGAAGTCCCTTGGCCCTTAAAGGGGAAAGGTTGCCTACCCCTGCTCTAATGGAATGTATGTATTCTATATTATAAAAAACAAATAATAATGAAACAGGAAATCCCGATTTCTTTGATCATAATAATGAATCCCTTGAATCTTTTTCCACTAGACTTCTCTAAAAGCCATAATCCCTAATATCAGATGCCCTTTGGATGAAACAAAATATATTTCAGTAATGTAGTGTATTCAGTGCTTCAAGCCTTTTCTTGGCTATGGTTTATCTTTTTGCCAAAGCTGCAGAAGACCTCAGCCTAGACACACACTTGATGCTAGAAATTTTTGTTACCTTACTAAACTTGTTACTACTACAGCTGAATTAACTGGTTCTTTTTCCCAGAACTATGCTCTTGGCATGAATGTAAAATTTGGTGGGAAGTTCAAGACTGAAAAAAAGTACTCCATTATACTTCTTTACAATTCTAGTAATAGAATCTGAAGTCAACTAGTTAAGATGGATGTAGGAGATTCATGGTGATAAAATGAGTTAATTTCACATACTGCATAGTTGAATTATAACATACACTACATTAAGCCGTAGTGATGGCCACCAATGTTGAACAGATTTAGAAGGAAATTAGGAAAAAGTCATGGCAGATGACACTACTCATGATCACCCTAACTATATACCGCATTCATATCAGGGGAAGTTGCCAGTTGTTGGGGAACAAAGGTTAGATGATATTGTGGTGCTTATATCCTGCTGTTGGGCTTTCCTTCAGCTTCTAGTTTTCATTGTTAGTTGGAATCAATGCTCAGTGAAATGGACCTTTGGTCTGATCCCAGATGCCTCTTAAGTTCTAAATAGTACCAGAATCTGCACTGAGATGTATGTACAGAATCACACAGGACCCACCCCTCACCCCTGCCTCAATAATTTTCTTAGAAGGATTATTATGGTTTGAAATACCTGTTTCTCACAGAGGTGTATTTTTTTCTACAGAGCTTTGAAAGGAGTGTTACGAGTTGGAGTATTGGCTAAGGGATTGCTTCTCCGAGGGGACCGAAATGTCCACCTTGTGTTGCTGTGTGCTGAGAAACCTACTAAGACGTTACTGAGTCGCATTGCTGAAAGTCTGCCCAAGCAACTTTCTGTATGTATGGCCTTGAACTTTGGTCTATATTTTTTGTAAAGTTTTAAACAAGGTTCTGCCAAACTTTCTGAGTGCCCTAATTTACTTTAAAGTATGTGGATTAGAGATGAACTACTTTCTAAATGCAAGAGGGAGATTTGCAGTATAATTAATTCAGCATTCCAGCCAGCCTGGGAAAGGGGAGATGTAGTGCTCTTTGAGGCAGCATGAGGAATAGGAGACACATTCTCTTATCTTCCACAGTGCTAAAAGACTCAGGTTTAAAGCTGCACTTTACTTCAAAACTGGGCATTTTACTGCTGTGTAGCATGGTGGGGGGAATGCCAGGTTGTGGAGGTTAGGGAGGGGAATTGGGGTTGTTGCTTTTTTCTTAATCCACTTCTGAGTGCCTACTCCCCATCACATGGGAAGGAGGTTTTAACTTCATAATGCTCATTTGCTTAATGGCATTTGAAGGAATTGTGTGAACCCTTGTATATACTTCCAGTGGATTGATAATTGATAAAGGGCTTGTGTATGAGCAAACATTGACCTCAATTTTACATTTACCAGTTGTTCAACTTGAAACGGGTTGATTTAAAAATATATATTGAAGGAATAGGAATTCCTGCTTCAGAATTAATTCACATTTTCCAAAAGGATTGATCTTTTGTATTAAACAAAACAAAAACCTTACAAAAGCCCCATGAAGTCTGAAACACTGAATACATTTATAGTGGGTTTATGTTTTGGGGGGTAGGACCAAACTACACTCTCCATAGGAGATCAGCAATTGGATCTCTCAGCATAATTTTCTTCTAAAAGCAGCTGGCCTCCAGTGTGATGGTGGTGGGAGTCCTACTCACTCTCCCTTCCTGTGCCATGGCCTTGATCCATACTGCATCCTTATCTATCCCATTTGTTTGTTGTTCATATTAGGAAGGCACGATATCTATCTGCTTACCCCTCCAAAACTATAGTTCACATTCTGTATACAATTTGAATCAGGAAAACCTTCAGTATAAAGAGATTAGAGTTAGAATCCCACTAAAAGCCTGAATCCAAATGGGGTTACTACTTTTGCAAGAGATTCCATTTTTGGTGCTTAGAGTCTGCTTCATCATATGGATGGGATGTCAGATACATAAGTATCAGTGAGGAAGGGGTCAGAAGGAGAGGAAGGAACAACATGGCCAAAAGAATATACAGCAGTTGTTTTTCAGTCCTATCCGAAGCCTGTATTCATTAAAGATTCAGTCAGGAATGTGTCCACTCCACTTGAAGACAGAGGTCATAAAGTACTACTGGATTTCCATCTACTAGTGTTAAGTCTCCATATATTTGAGGACTGTTCTCTTTTGTTTGTGAAACATGTAATATAGATGCTTCATATTTTCCCTTATTTAGGTAATAAGTCCTGAGAAATATGACATAAAGTGTGCTGTACAAGAAGCAGCAATCGTCTTGAATTCATGTGTGGAACCAAAAATGCAAGTGACTATCACACTGACGTCACCAGTGATTCGAGAAGAGAACATGAGGGATGGAGGTTCGAAATCTGTTAAAAGATGTTCTATTTTAGTTGAACTGAGCATTCCTTCCTTTCTAAGATGGCATAAAGTCCTGGAAGGCAACATGCTGGCATATTATATAAACTTAATAAAAATTCAGTCATCAACCCAGTCTTGCAACAGTGTATTTTCCCAAACCATTTAGTTCTTATTTTAGACTCATGCACTACAATCAACAACCTCAGATTTCTGGAAAAGATTTAATAAATGAATTGTAAATGTTTAGTGGCAAGTGATTGTAAAGATACACTCTTCTCTTAGGAGGAAATTGCATCAGGCAATCATATGGTGTGTCTGAAACTGGATCAGTCTTTGCATCACCTGTTTGGATTAACTTGATATAATTATATTTATATAATCAGTTTTCAAGTTCCAAGTGATTCTA